ATTTATTTATTAATTTAAAGGAAAAGGGAATCAATTTAGACACAATTTTGCCATCGCATTATGTTTGTGACTAATTTTATATTTACCTTAAAAATGGTTTTAGTTTAAATTTATGAACTTATGTTAGTACTTCTTTTTTTTTTTTTTCTCTCTCGCTCTCTTTCAATCATGAGTTTATATTATTTAAACGTTCATTTTTTATATTGTGTACTTAAAACTCAAAAATATTATTTATAATTTAAATAATTCAATAATAACTCCTTTAAATAAAAATAAGTAGTCAACGATCTAAATTATTTAATAATTATTTGATTTTACTGAAATTAAGAGGTATTAAATTCGACTCACATGTCATGCAAGTAAAGTAAAAAAGGATATTTAAGATAATTACATTTTATTGTGTAATCAATATAAAACAAAAAAACAAAAAAAGTAATTTTAAATATGACTTATTTCGGGACATGGTGCACAAAGTAAATGAATGAAATGTCTCAATGTAAGACCCATTAACGTAGAAAAAAATGTTTATCCTAAATTGCCAATGAATAGATATTGGCTAATAAACCATATATAAAGAAAGACAGCAGCTTCTATTTTTGGTTGATCAAAGAGCAATACCTCCAATGCATGTATACAGAGGGTAAACTCTAATTTCATTTGGCAGTTGCCATATGGCAGATTTCAGAAAGACAGACAGAGTCTGTTTGTTTTTCATTTCTTGTTGGAACGAACGAACAAACGAATCTCACCATTTTCTAAATCTCTCTTTCTGTCTCTTTCCAACCCAAAATTCAGACTCACAAATCATTGATTCTTTCTTCAATGCTGTTGTTTTTAGACATCATGTTCCTGTCCAATCATCATATTCCCCTGAAAGCTGGAAACTAATGTCTGAAAAGTTAACAGGGGATTGATTCATTAATGGGCACTTTTCAGAGTTTTAGGAAAGCCTATGGGGCGCTCAAGGACTCCACCAAGGTTGGCCTTGCCAAGGTCAACAGCGAATTCAAGGCATATAATTTCTTCCCTTTTTTTTAACTTTTGGTCTCAATATTTCTTTCTTAATTTAACGTCTAAATGTTTAATTGGGTTTTAGGATTTGGACATTGCCATTGTTAAGGCTACCAATCATTTGGAATGTCCTCCCAAGGAACGTCATGTTAGGAGTGAGTTAATGATTTTGCATGTTTTTTTGTTCTGTTTTGACATTGGATTTCAAGATTTCTGATTTTTATGTGTTCTTTGTTTGATGTTTGCAGAAATTTTCTCTGCAACATCAGTAATACGTCCAAGGGCGGATGTGGCATACTGCATCCATGCATTAGCAAAGAGATTGTCCAAGACACGAAGTTGGATTGTAACATTTTTCACCCCTTCTTATTTTCTTTTTCAATCTCCCTATGCTCTCTCAAAGCATATTTTTCTGAGTTATGCATGGTTAGATGCCAATAAATTTGCTATGCTGTGATTTGCTAGTATTGTGTACATTTGTCTTTAAAAAATGATTCTGCCAAAAGCCTCCATTTCAATATCTTACCTTAACACATTCCAACAGGTTGCCATAAAGACATTAATAGTCATTCATAGGACATTGAGAGAGGGTGATCCTACCTTTAGAGAGGAGCTTGAGAACTACTCACGTAAAGGACATATTCTCCAAATATCCAATTTTAAAGATGATACAAGTGCTCTCGGTACGTGGGGCATCTAATTAACTGATATTAAATGGCTAATTGGCTCATCTGAATGCATTGTGTTTTCTGAGTTTGAACATAGTATTTTATCTCATCCATCCTTTCTCTATTTGTAGCCTGGGATTGCTCGGCATGGGTTAGGACATATGCACTTTTTCTAGAGGAGCGACTTGAGTGTTTTAGGACCTTAAAGTATGATATTGAGGCTGAAAGATTGACAAAATCATCACCTTTAACAGACAAGGTATTTGCTTTGCATAATTAGAAAGCCGGATATTGCTTCCACACTCTAATACCATGATGTATATTTTTCAATCACAACAGGCACATAGTAAAACTAGGCATTTAGCTAGTAATGAGCTGTTGGAGCAGCTACCTGCATTGCAGCAGCTTCTTTACCGCCTTATTGGTTGTCAGGTATTGATTTTATCTAATTTAACATTTCAAAAGATTGAATTTGCAATGTTTTTGTATCCTTAAAATGTCTATATCTGCGCTTGCAGCCTGAAGGAGTAGCTTACAACAATTATCTGGTTCAGTATGCCTTAGCCTTGGTATGCAACAGTCTGAAGAGCACAAATCTGTCTGAGATTTTTTGGATTACTTGTTTGTTTATAACTTTTTTTTTTTATTGCAACAATGTTGTTCACGTAGGTATTGAAAGAGAGCTTTAAAATATATTGCTCCATCAACGATGGAATTATCAATCTTGTTGATATGGTATGCTGTCCTTCAGCCTGTAAATGCCCCTAGGATTTGAATCAATTGTTTGCATAATCTCGATGATGATCCTGACATGTTTTCTGCAGTTCTTTGATATGTCAAGACATGATGCAGTTAAAGCTCTTAATGTCTATAGTAGGGCTGGCCAACAGGTTGACATCTATGATTTTTCCTTGGACTCATGCCTTTGCTTCCTGTCCAACTTTTGTTAAACTGATTCTTGTAATTATTTTTGCCGTGCAGGCTGAAAATCTTGCTGAGTTTTATGAATACTGCAAAGGCCTGGATCTTGCCAGGAACTTTCAGTTTCCAACATTGAGACAGGTTCTTTCTTCTATAGATCGAGTTAGATCCAAAAACTACAATACATTCTAGATCAACATTGTCTTACAAACTTTCCTTTCTGAACTAAGCAGCCCCCTCCATCATTTCTTGCAACAATGGAAGAATATATTAAAGAAGCGCCACAAACTGGATCTATGCAAAAGAGACTGGTGAGTACCTTGGTATCCATCCATGGATGCTGATCAAAGACGTTATAGAGATGAAGCATGTTATATGAATGGTGACCAATTGTGGGTTACAAAATGTTTTTTGTTCTTACAACAGGAGTATCAAGGGAGAGAACAGCCCCTTACACCCAAAGAAAAAGAAACCCAAGAACTAGGAGAAGCTGAAAAGCAAGAAGAAGAAGTTGAGGAAAGTAAACCATTGGTTGATCCAGGGGAAGAATCTGAGCCCAAGGATGGAATTGTTGAACCCCAGCTCTTAATATCAACTGAGGAGACTGAGGATCTTCTTGTACGTTGGGTGATTTCTTAGAATTACCTTTTTGAGGTAGGTCTATGGGATTCTTGATTGACAATTGTTCCTCTATTTTTTATGCAGGGTTTGAATGAACTAAATGCAAAGGCTTCAGAACTAGTGGAAGGCAATGCTTTGGCTCTTGCAATAGTTCCAACTGGTAGGTCATATAATGTTGGATCCAACATTAACAGAATTTTATCCTTTAACATGAATGGACATTTTCTGTACTAATCATGTAAACTACCTGTTGACTACTCACTTGATTGCATATCTTTTGATACCATATTCAGGTTTTAAAGTTTTCTTGTTGTCATGTAGGCAATAGTTCAACGATAAATAATGGTCTGAGTGACATTAGTGGTGTGGGATGGGAGCTAGCACTTGTTACAACACCAACCAACACTACCAGCCAAGTCATAGAAAACAAGCTAGTTAGTTTACTATCTGAAACTTAAATTGTTTCCTCGCTTTTCATAGAAATGCGACTTACTTGTTTTTTCGATGTATTTGCCTGTTTTCATCCTATTTGATGGTTGTCATGTTTTGGTTTTTGGTTTAAGGCTGGTGGCTTTAACAAGCTATTGCTTGATAGCTTGTATGAAGACGAAACAGCTAGAAGGCAAATACAGTTGACAAACGCAGGTTATGGATGTGGGGGAGGAGCGGCCATTCCAAATCCATTTGAACAACATGTTGATCCATTTGCAATGTCCAACAGCATAGCACCCCCGACGGATGTACAAATGGCCTCATTAGCTCAGCAACAACAGCAATACCAACAACAACAATACATGACACAGCAACAGCAGCATATGTTGATGGGACCTTACCAATGCCAACAGCTGTATCCTCAGGAATCTCAATATCCTCAACAGATGCAAATGCAACAGATGGATTCTGCTAATCCATTTGGAGATCCATTCCGCAACCTTCCATCTCCAGGTTCAATGCCACACCAACAGGGACAGCACCATATGCTACTCTAGAGTAGAGTTCATACATTCATTTATTCAGATTTTCATTTTATAATTTCAGTGAAATATCTTTTGAGTCTTTGGAGTAGGGGAAGTCATTTTATTTGGTCTGAGGTCTAAAGACTGATATATAAGCACATTTTTTGTTTACTCAGTACATAATAAATATATTTCTTCTTCCTTTTCTTCCTTTTTCTACATCTTGAAAGGATTGATGCATACATGGCAAACGTTACACCCTTAATGATATTATTAAGATTATTTTTGAGTTTTCATGCTTAAATTGACATTAAAATTAGATAATTTGGACTAAAATTTTGAAATCTTTATTCCAATGAATCTTGTATTTATTTAATTGGCTGGTTTGAATAAATATGGGTTCAATTTGGAGAAGGGTTTAATGCATTATATGCATATGTGGGGAAAATGTTGGAAGCCTAATGATATCCAATTGGTTAAAATTCCAAAAGAACCAATTAGGGACCCAATTGACAAGAGAAGTAATATTAGGGACATAATTGAAAAATAAGTAAAACGTTTGCAACGAAAATTTATATTTGCTCCTTTTGGTCTCTTCATTTCTGAGTAAAATCAATTTTCTGAGATTCCGGGTAAAAATTTCACAATGCTTCGAAACCTAGTTCGACATTCTCCGCTTCCCCACTACTCCGCCGTCAACCACCGCCGCCCGCAGCTTCCCTTCTCCTTCCGTCGCCACTTTTCATCAAAGAGCGAACTCATTGAGATTGACCTCGACTTTTCGTCTCCATCCGGGTTAAAGAAGATGGAGGAGATGATTCAGAAGTTAATTGTGCACAAGGCTGCACCTTATTGGCTCCCCTTCATCCCAGGCGCCTCCTTCTGGGTGCCACCGGACCACCGCGGTTCTAAGAAAGTAGTTGATTTGATAGAGAAATTGTCCAATAGGCTCACCGAGGAAGAGGCATTCTCTCTCACCACCGACCGAGGCTGGCCCTGTCTCTCTTCCTTCCTCTCTGGTATCCCCGAACTCAGATTTTCTTGTTCGTTTCTAACATGAACTAGAATGGATGCTAAGGCAGTCAACTCTATCAAGCCATCTCGGTTTTGCTTGACTTATCTCGTGGATGTTATTTATGCTTCTAAATTCTATATTTGATTGCAGATGACATGGTTACTGATGGGGTAGCAAATGTGGATATGAAGTCATCAAAGCAGGAGGGAGAGGTAATTGAGGTGGTGGTAATGGAGGATTCAAAGAACTTGTCCTAACCTGGGGCTGAGAAGGGGATTTAATGCTTAAGTCTTTTGGAACCTGCTACCAGGTAAATGACTGCCGTCACTTGCAATATGTTGGATTTCGCTTAAAGTTCATTGTGGTTAAGGCTAGCTTTAGAGTTGTGTTTCAAGTGATTTCCTTTAACTTAGCATGTTGTTTCTTTGAAGATTGGATTAACTGGTGCATTCTATTGGTTTTATAATGCTATTTTCTAAAGCAGTGTGATTTTAGGCCAGTTTAAATCTTGAAGTTTGAATCATTAGGATCTTCTGGAGGCTAGGACTTGAAGTTCAGAGCAGCATAAAGGTAGTAAATTGCATTGGGAAAACATTTGTATACAGCAAAAACTATACTCCCACATAAATCTTCCAAACTATGTGTTTGGAATGTGGATAATAGTTGTATGAATCCTTCATTTACTATCAAAGTTATTGAATTTGGCAACAGACAATACTAGCTTGACTTTAATAAATGTCTTCTTTTATATAGCCTGCCATATGGATCCAGGTCTTGCAGGTTCAGATAATATATTCTTCTTGCTACTTGTCTGCTGCAGTTATTAAAATTCAATTATGTTAAAAAATTCTATGGGTCTGTCGATATGGCTTTGTTTGTACACCATTTTGTTTAATTTGGATAGTTATTGAATCCTGGCCTTCCTTTTGTATGCAGAAATATTTTAGCTAGTCTTTATAAATGCTTTTCTTTTTCTGCCTATTCAATAGACAAGCTGTACAGAAAAGAGGGTGAATGTGTTTATTTTGTAAACTCTTTTTCAGCAATTTTATATGCAAAACTGGATTGTTCATTGATGAATGGACTTGATTTAACATATTCCTAATTTTCTGTGAACAAGCTGGAAAAGGAGGGAAGAAATCTTTCATGGCAATTAGTATGTTGTTATAGAAAAACTGTTGAAGGTGATTGATGTTTGGTGATGGAACTACTGTTAAGTTTGCTTCCTAAAACTGGTTTTACTTGGTGATTTAGCACAGTTGCATCTAGGTTTATTTTAGTACATGGTGATCTGAAGCCCATTTTTCTCAGACTTAACAGTTTTCAAAATTCATTTATTTTAGAATTAGAAGTAGAGAAACTTGTTTCGTCCTAACATATTCATGATTGTTATTTGCAGGGTTCGAACTTCTTTCTTCTAATGTGCTTTCTCACAATAGAAGTTAGTTGTTAGTTATAGAATTTCTGAGCAGAGGCAATCCTGTATTAATGACTTATGATGATGAAGGATTTAAGTGTAGTTTACTCATGCTTTTTCTTTTAAACCCTTTCCTACTAGATGGTTATTACATTTGGATAATTTGACCCATGACAGGGTTCAGTTCATGTTTTTAGTTAGTCATGGACAGATTTTACACGATTAGGAACGACTGTTCAAGTTTGCTTTTTGAATGATCAAAACCTCTTTCTCTGGGACTGCATGGACTATTCTTCAGAAGGATAGATATATACCAAGGTTTTGTCTCAAAACAGTAGAAAAACAATGCTTTCACGGTTTCACCTGTGCACTTTCGCATCGATATCAGTTTAGTCCTCAAAGTAATTTCTTTAGCAAATAAGCTCACATACTTCACCAAAGAGCATAGATATTCATATGATATGTGCCTTATTACTTACCCTACAGTTAAGCTTTGCACGTGATGTGAAGGGGCATGTAGTAACTACCATGTCTTTTATGATATGGGTTTTTCATGCTGTGCCTTAAATTATTATATTTAAAAAAATAATAATATTAAAAATTGTAAAAATTATTTCATTATCAATGTCACACGGATTATTTTAAAGAAAATGATTTATGGATAATTTTTTGTATTATTTTTGGATATAATTTTACATAATATTTAAATGATTTATTTTTTTATTTATTTGAAATTCGTAATATTAAATATATATTTATTTAATAATATAAAAATTATATAAAAAAATTATCCTTCTATAAATGCTGAATGTCCAATTCTACACCAATACCAACCAAACCGTATTTAACAAAGACGAAAAATCTGATTTATATTATAATTTTGATTTATATTATAATTTTAATTTCGTGAGACCTACTCCAGGTTTCCCCACTCTCCCCCTTTTAAAAGGAATAAGAATTGCAGAGAATTTATATTTTTATTTATATTATTTTTAAAAAAATATATAATTTATTTATGGTAAAATAAATAATTAAAATTAAAACATAATTATAACATTAATTTTTTTTTAAAAAAAAAAGACTCCCCTCAAAATGTATAAAAGGAGAATAAAATGAATATTATATAATTTTTCGCGCGGGACCCTGTTGGTGAAGAAACAAAGAATCCGCTTAATAACTTGTCCCATAGGTAGGAACTCGTAATTAAATTGAAGAGGAGTGATTTGGAGAAGCTTGAAGAAGAACACCTCCGTGTAATAATGGCGGAAGATTCTGAAATGGCATCGTCCACCTCCACCTCCCAATTACAATCTTCTTCTCAGATATCTCATGAAGACGCCGCAAAACGATCCCAGGTATGTTCTAAATTTTCTATTTTTTCGTGATTACTTTCTCTAGTATTTTGTTTTCCTGGGCTCTTAAGTTCAGAGTTATCCTATTCTATAGAGTAATCATGTTATTATTTGAATTGCAATCGAATTTCGTTTGTTAATTCCTTTTGGGTCCTTAAAAATCCGTTCTTTAGGGTTCAATTTTCTTGTTGCTGTTAATTTTGCCATAAACTGGTATTTCATGGATCTACAAAAGAAAATTGAATTTATAATGTGTCATTAGCTTCATAAATCAAGATGGGTTTCCTCCAATTCAAGGTGCAATATGTCTCCATGTTTTTCTTCTCTTTTAGGGTGACCTGAATTTTTTTTTTTCTCGTTGATGTTGGGAGCTAGGAATCCCTTAGTGCATTGTGGTGGTGTTGCATGTTGGGTAACCTTTGAAAAAATAAACTGGTGGTGGTCTTCAAAAACTTTCAATTTTCAGTACTTGTGAAGAAAGTAAAGAAGAAATTATGTTAACTTTTGTGGCCTTTGATAAATGTATGTTCCTATGCTTCTTAGGTGCATTATGTTGGCTGTTCTATCTCAGTATCAGTTGTTGCTTATTTTATCGCAGATTCCAGCATTCTCTGGTTTCCCAGACTTTCCAAATAGTGATTATCCGATGATTCCAGTCATGTATCCCGCAATTATTCCAGGGTTAGCTTCTTTACAAAATCAAGAACAGATGAATCATGGAGCAGGCATTTATGCCATCCCTGTTCTGCCATTTGTGGGCCACGTTTCTGGACTTCCATCCAACACTCTTATTCCTCTAACCTACAATATACCCATGTAAGTAATACTTTCTTAGATTTTTTTGTTTGATATACAATGGGTCTTATGTTAATCTGCCTCAAATAGATCTTCTGTGGAAACAGTTAGAATATTCCCACTATCATACTTAGAAATTGATGTCCGTTATTTGCATGTAGTGAATATGCTCTTGCTTTATACTTAATTTAGTGATGGTTGTTTCTTAAACAACATAACCTAAATGGAAACAGGTAGAATGTGACAAAGGCCTGTTATTTAAATTGTTACCAAACCCTTTGCTAATCTCCTTTTACTACCCATTCATGTACATTTTTTCTTCTGGGTGGGTGGGTAGATTTGCAGTTGATTTACACTTTCAAGGAAAAAAATTGCCATATAATAGCATTTTTAATATTAAATTTTATATTTTCACTTCTCTTAAATTCAAGTGATTTCTTAACTGACTTTATGTTGAGAATTGGTTAGAATATTGCTTTAGCCTTTAGGTGAGGAGCAACCACACATATCAAAGTAGTTTATTTTCCAGATCAGAGATGTAATCTATATGTTAATCGGTGATTGCAATTTACAACAATAAAGATACATCTAGGTAGTTAATTGGTGATAATGGTGAATTCATGCATAGAATAGGTTTTTTGTTTGCATAACTCTCTGAATGTTTCCCCTATCAGGAGATCTGCTAATGAAACTGGCTCTGGTGGTGAGGAGCATGGTCAAGCAGCACAACCTCAGCAACATCAACAGCAGCAGGCTGCAGCTCAAGGACAAGTTGTCAGGAGATTTCAAATTGCCTTTCAGCTTGATCTTTTGCTTATGCTAAAGTTGGCAGCAGTAATATTTTT